ACTGGCATGGGGTTACGAGTGGGAGAGCTGACAGGCAGGAGCACCATTGGGATACACAGAACAATCAACTCTTCACCTGGAAAGACGAATTTCTTACTACATCCACCCGACACCACATGGAACAGCACGGCATACACCTCTGAGAACATGTGACAAACAACAAAATATGGGGTACGTGGAGGAAGGGTTCAGATGACACCCCCAGGCCTGCTACTTTGTGGTACTGAATGTTGTGAGATTAAGGCACAGAAAACCAACAAAGGCAGGAAAGGTTTTCTAAGATTGCCCCAGCTCTGCTAAAGATACATCTTGGAGGGCCCTTTCCATTTCCCCTCTCACTGTCAGTCTTCCCCTGTCCAGGAGGACGTGCCCCTCACAGAGGGCCTAGAGGAAGGGCCTTGGCCACAAGCCAGCACAGCTCATCAGGGCCAACAATGTGCCCAGATATGTCGTATACTCTCCCTAGGAAAGAGGCCCTTCTCCCTTCTCCTATGAGGAGGGAACACTGGTTCTCAGATCTCACATTTTGGGGTACTCATGTTTGTTTGTCACGATGTCACTATACATAAGAAATTAAAGGCTAAGAAATACAGCTCTTTCTTCCTTTGTGGTCAGTTTACACACACACACACACACACACACACACACACACACACACACATTCCAGAATATCCCAGTGAAAATGGTAGCTGGAGCTAGAATCCAATTTCCTGGAATTAAAACAAGAACAGTTTGAAGAAGGGGAGTTTCTTAGACAAAGCCTCTTCCAACCTGAGAGGATGCCAAAGTTTTAGTCAAAAATGAATGACAAGCAAGAGGCCAATGAGGGTGAAGGGTAGGAACTGAAAGGCTGGTTGAAAGGCTAGATGAGAATCCATACCAACAGAGAAGGAGACTTATTTTCTCAGGGTCCTGGATGGTTAGTTATGGCCATATCACTCCCCAGACATCAGTCAGCTAGGAGAGGACAGGGTCAGGTAGGGACTCTACTGTGGTGCTGCCTCCTGCAGACTCTGGAACAACTCATGGGAGGACACTGAATGGTCCATGGCTCTGAAAGAGGCACTGCTGGGGACAGGAGAGTGTCCTACCTGAAGCCTCACTCCCTCCTGGTATCCTCTGAATATAGCCATCCTGTCATGATGCCCCAGAGGACTGAAGGGGGGGGGCTTTTTTTCATGCCCATACCTATAAAAATTTTGTTCCTATGTCTGAAGACTGAAGACTGTCCCATCCCCAGTTTCCTCTCTCCTTGGAGAATAAAGCTCCCTGCTCCAAGACATGATTTCTCTAAGTACCGAGTGATTGTTGAGTTTGATTATGCCTCCTGCTCTTCAAGACCAGCTCATTATTTCCAAAATGGATGGAAGCCTAGCAGAAGAGCAAGTCTACCCAGCAACAGCAGAATTCCTATAGGATGCTTTTGGGGGTTTTGGTTAAATGAGAAAGCTGGGCGTGAAGTTCTGACACCTGAGTCAGGGTTCACTAGAGTCTGCTGCCACATACAGGTAACCCTGGACACCCAGTTCATGCTTGATGAAGGAGGATCTTGCAGACCCAATACTCAAAAGGTAGTTCCAACAGATGGTGAGCGCCAAGGTCATTCTGGCTCAAACTGAAGGTGGCAATTTCAACCAGTGGCTCCCTCTATTTTTTGTCTTCACCTCTATGCCAGTCATTCAATGTTTGCCTTTCTAGTTCTGTGTCTCTGACTTGAGCTATATTCCCAAGCATCTGCCTGTGTGTTCCAATTCACTCCACCAGATGGGAACAACCCAGCAGATTCTGCTCCCAGGGACAACTTTAAGGGATTTTTTTTTCCCGCTCAACAAATTCAAGGCAACAAAATCAGCATTCAACACCCCAGCAGGAGGGCAGGGGAGCCCAAGCCTTCTGCAGCAATGGCTTGAGTCCCAGATACCTAGACGCTTGCTCCCACAGGCAACTTCTGAGACATAAGCAATTTCATCAGCAGATCTGTCTGTCACCATCAAGGAAACACAAGGAGACAGTCTCTTGCTTTCACCGGGAAGGCCACGACCAGAAACTCAAACCCTGACGAGTAGGGGCTGGGATGCAGCATAGTGTGCCCAGGGGTGGGAAAGTTTAACATGGTTTAGCCTTTGTAGAAACAGCATGGCGGTTCCTCTAAGGTCACACATAAGATTGCCCTGTGATGTGGCAATCTACCTCTGAGCAACAGAATTTAAAGGGGGAAAATCCAGAGACCATGGTTGTATATGCACGTTCATAGCAACAGCAGTAGCCACAGTGGCTACTCCAGGGAAGCAATCCAAGAGTCCATCAACGGGGAAACACTGTACACAGGTCAGTAGGATCGCTCCACCTTCAGAAGAAGGAGACTCTGACACTCTACCACACAGATGAACTCTGGGGACATTTTGCCACATAAACCCAACCAGACACAAAAGACAGATTTTCCACAGTTGGGCTTAATATAGCATATTACTATAGCCCCCCTTCCTATATTAAAATCTTATGCAACTAGGTGACAGTGGGAAATCCTGAGGGTGGGGAGGTCTCATGAATAGGACATGCCCTGATGAGGGACCTCAGTGAACTCTGACCTCTTTCCACCACGTGAGGACACAGCCAGGAAGGCAGACACCGTATCTGCCTCCATTTTGGACTTCTTGCATCCGTAACTACGAGAGATATTTATTGCTCAAGCATCCAAATATGTGGTGCTTCTGTCATAGCGGCTAGAAATAACCAAGGCAAGGTGTCCTGAGTGCTCAAAACCAGGGGAACAAAAAGCAGAAGTCTGCTGCAAGGACCTGGAAGAGGGGCAAGGGAGAGTTATCCCTTAATGAAAACAGCTTCAGTTTCTCAAGACAAAAGTGACTGGAATCTGTCACATGACAACTTGACCACGGTGACATGCACCTATGCTGTAAGTGACCAACATTATATTTACTCTACCAGTGTTGTTTGTGTACACAACTCCAAGAGTTATAGCCCCTACACGTGATGGAGCCATTGGTCAAAATGACATTTGACTGGAAACATTGGTCTCAAATGCACATACTCTGCCACTGGCCTGGCACAAGGCAGGGCTTCGGTGGGCTTTGTCTCGCCTATAGAGTCTTCTGCAGAGGACACACCCTCTGAACCACAGCATACAAGTGGATTTATTCTCAGCTTACCGGACAGCCCAGCTTCCTTTCCAGGTCCCCACTCCTTCCTGCCTAGATCTGCCTCTGTGTCCACTGAGAGCAGTGAGGACAGAACCCAACCTGTGAGGCCTTACTATCTCAAACACCTGCCAGGCAGCCACAGCTAAAAACTCCTGGTGAACTAACGAGGCAGCTAACTGGGATCAGGAAGGAGTGTTCCAATTCTACCACCCACCATCTCAGCAGCCTGTTCCTAGGCTAACAGCTCTCAAAGCCAAGTCTTGGTCAGAGGAACCATAATCCTGAGGTTCTGCAAACTTGACATAAGGCAGGACACCCCAGATGCCCTGTTGAGGATCAGGGATGCTGCCGTGGAGGGTTGTGTGGAACAGCAGATGCAAGAAAGGTTGGGTAACGGGGTTCCCTGAAAGCTTCCAGGGGACGAAAATGGAAAGACTCCCAGAAAACAGCACCTAACACCCGCACTGCCTGACCCCTAAGCCCCCTGACCCAAGCCTAGCCCACTACTGGAGGTCTTCACCCTGGGATGTTACAGCCAGGCCCTCTTCAAATCTTAGTTCTGAATGCCTCCTGACACCAGTACCTCCTGGTAGCAGTTACTTTCCTAGCTTCAGTTCCAGCGGCTGTCCCTTCCATTCCACAAGGCCCACCTCTTGTCTGCACCCTCCTGATGCCCTGGTGACATCAGAACAGAGGAGTTTCAGCTGGTCTCAGGCTAACCATCTTCGCAGTCTGTGGGAACCTCTGGGGCCCAAAGGATGTTAGAGACGCCTCCCCATGGTGTGTTTTCATCACTGTGCAAAAGCGCTCATCTGCTTTGACTTACATTCACCCCAGGCTTTAGCAAAGAGAACAGCCATCCTTTGTGATACAATGAAGTGGAGGCAATTAATCGCCCTCAATCGCCCTGTGCTTTGTACTCTGGTGGCTGTGCAATCTCTTTAGAGAGGGCTTTTGGAGCCTAAATAGACACAGTGCGCAGACAGCTGCGAGGCTAGAGGGGAGGGAAGGGCCTGGACAGCTGAACAGAAGCGTCTGTTCGAGAGGGTCCATCCCAAACAGCACACCACGCTGCACCAGCCGAGGGCTAATTCCAGCCTTTTCAGAGCTCTCGTTAAGTCTCTTTGAGTTATAATTACCCCCAATCTGTAGCTACCACAAGGCAGCAATCAGGAAGTTAGATCTGGCCAAGAGAGAACAAGGCAAGTGGAGACAGGCTCAGCAGGCCGCCTGCTTGAGGGACAAGAGCCTTGGGGTTGGTCTGGGAGGAAGCAGGCTGGGCCACCACACTGGGTCCTGTCACCTTGTGCGACAGGAATGGACAAGCCTGGCCTCTGGACTCCAGTGTGGCCTGAACTGCTGCTTCACTTGGCAGGTCCATGGGATGGCACAGCAGCTCTTGATTCTTGGGGAGCTGGCTACATTGTGTGGGATGATGGCCACAATGTAGCCATCCCAAGATGCCCCCCACCCCCTCTAGCCCACAGCGTGCCCCTTATTGAGAAATCGCTCCAATTGCAAGATGGCTACAGTATTACAAGTGGGTGAATGTTGGTACACAGAACCCCTTACAGGGTGACAAAGGTCCTACAGAGCTAAACCAGGCCACGCTCTGTTGTCGGCTGAGCTGAGAGCCCAGAGGCCCTGCCTGGAAGGTGATGGAAGGCTAAGCTGACAACTCCCTAAAGACTTAGAGCCCCTACTTCTTCCCTGATAGTTCTGAGCCTTTTGCTCTGGTGATGGGAATAACTTCCCTGAGGAGAAATGGAGCAAGTCTGTGTGTGGCTCCATGGCCCCCTATGTTCCCACCCTCCACTGGCCCACCCAGAAACCCTTCCTTACCTTGCCAAAGCTGCCCTTCCCAATCGCTCGCAGAATCTGGAAGTGGTCAAAGTTCACTGTGGAATGAAGCAAAAAGACACCAGGTAAGGCAGTGGCAGGCACAAGCCCCACACTTAACAAAACTTGCCCCTGCTTAACAATTTTTTGGTCCCTCAGAGATCCATCCCTTTAACCCCTCAAAGGGCTGATCATGTCTCTGGGTGAACTCCAGGCCATGCAAAGGATGGCTCAGACCCTCCTTGCATGATTGCTCATATGATCCCCATATGAGGTGGGGACTGTGTATGACCACAGGCAGGACTGGGGTTAATGAGCCAAGGCAGGCTCCCAGACTTCCTCAGCTGCAAACCTGTACCCCATAAAAGGCGCACAGCAGGAATCCCATCCATCCCAGCTCTTGGAGCCCCTGCTCTGGGGTTCTCCAGTAACAGGTTGGAGCATCTGCCCCTCTGGAACTCACCAGACAGGCCTGGAATTATGACAGTCTCTAGACTAACGATGGAGAACAGCACAGGACAACACAAAACACATCCTGCTTGGCTTTTCTAGGAACGACCAGTGCCTTTTTGCTGCCACAGCCCTGATGAGCTGGGTGATGAGTGCACCAAATCTTTGATTCCCAGACTTCCTGCTGTGCCCTGATCTGAAGCTTTCCCATGGGGTCAATCAATCTGCATCAGTCTCTTCTGATGTCCTTTTCTCAGGTAGAGCCTGTGGGGTGGGCTCAAGCAGCCTGGCTTTCTGTCTAGCATGACTTAGACAGGCCCCTCCAATTGACCCAGGCCAGGAGCCTAGGTCCCCAAGTGTATAACTCTATACCACATCACTTGGAGGGTCTACCCAGGGCTTTGGGCCTCGCAGTATAGACACGTACCCTGGAGAGGACCCAAGCTGCCCGTGGCTCATGATACATCACTCATTCAGTCCACAACCACTTTCTCTCTGGAGGTTTTTTTTACCACTTCTTCCTAGCTTATGGGTTCAAGACAGGCGCTCTGCTGCTGTCCCAGCATGGGGATGTGAGTAGTGGAAGGTGGTTTAGTTAAAGGGTAAGGGAAGTGGACTGGGTGCCAAGCACCTGGGCTGGCATCCATGTCAGGAATGCTTGCAGGAGACGGGTCCACTTTTCACAGAGGAGAACACACAGCCATCTCAGCCACATCCGCACAACACCAGATGGGCACATTCGAGCTGGGAGACCCCAGGGCCGCCATCTGCTGGAGACCTCAGCCTCTCCCACAGTCTGCATTGCTCTCAGTACCCAAACTCATCTCGACCTCATTCCTCAGCCACTCATCACTTCACATACTGCAGAGAAGAAGCACTCAGAACAGGGTGTGTGGCACCCAGCCCCACAGACCCTCCAATGCGCAGGAAAGCATTTGGGATAAGTCACTGTATCTACCAGCTAGGGCACGAAGGCTGGTTGTCCAAGGTCATTTGTGTGGTGGGAACAAAACTGAAAGGATAAAGTGAGAGAGCAGTGAGCACGTGATGGGTAAGGTGGGAAGGTACAGACACCATCCAGCAGAAGCGTCGACGTACCTTGCTCTTCTCTTAAGCCCTAGCCTGCCCCATAGGCATGGCTCTGCACAGAGCTATGGAGCGAGGTGAAGGTGCCATATGCTGCAGCCACCACCAGAATCTTTCTAAACCAAGCTATTTCTGCTCATCACTGACTGGTGATGAGGTGTTACCCGCCGTTCCAAATTTAATGAGCAGGGATTGGGGGATGGGTCTAGCATCAGGAGCAAGAGCAGAGGGCTGAGAGTGGAGGCTAGGCACTGACCTTGATGCATCTTGATGGGGGAGAGCAGAGATCAGGGAAGGGATTAATCCTGGACCAGCCACAGTGCAGCTTCAGGAGATTGGGCTCGGCCAGTGAGTTTTGGGCCAGGGCCCTTCCGCCTGCCCAATCTGAACTCAGATCCAGCTGCTGCTGCCTAAAAGTCCTTGGCCTCCTACAACTGCACATGAGATCCTAACCCACTCAAATGCCCATAGTCAGCCAGCTTCAACCACTTCTAATAGTTGGAGAGGCGTGTGATGCTCCATGCCCACCTCCAGAATGACAGCATGGCATCTGTTGGCCTCTACTCTCAGCCCCATTGGTGCCTGGAGTCCAATCCAAAACCACCTGAGCAACAGGCTAGGCAGCCCCTTGCCCATGGGCACCTAACTGTCCCTGGCAGCCCCTCAAGCAGCCAACACAATGCAGAGCATCAAGTGTCTGCCCGACAGCTGTTGAGTTCATACAGGAACTCAGCCAAGACAACTAGCATTTTCAGGGCACAGGCATAATTTTCTGAGTTCAGTCTTTCCTGGAAAGAAAGGAAGGGAAAAAATACATTAAATAACAGGTCACAGGCATGTGGGAGTCTTCAAGCAGCTGTCCTCCTCCATACTTAGACATGTGCACTGACAATTCACCATCCAGGTGTGTAGGGATGAAGCCTCCTAGGAAGGCTGGGTGTAGTGGCACTTGCTTTTAATCCTAGCACACAGGAGGTAGAGGCAGGCGGATCTCTGTCAGTTCAAGGCCAGCCTGGTCTAAATACCGAGTTCAGGCCAGCCAAGGACATATAGTAAGAATCTGTTTCAAAAGCAAACAAACAAACAACAAAGAAACCTCCAGGCTCCTTGGGAAGAACTTCTGACTGGATCTGCTAGGGTGCAGAGCCAGCGCATGCTCAGTGAGGGCTGTGGTTTGGACACTGGCCTGTCTGTGGCCTCCCACCAGCCCTCAGCTTCCTGAGATGGGCCAGAGTAGCTCTGTAGCTGCTGCCCACAACGTGCCCATCTCTTTGGATCCTTGGTTTCCTCCTCTGCCTGGGGCACAAGAGGCTCTGGCCTACTAGCTCCTGCTAGGTGAGGGAGCCAGGCACTATGCTGGCTGCAGCCATGAGAAGAAGCAGGTGCCAGGTGGCTTCAGGTTTCAGTATGCAAGCACCACGGGCACATTTATTCTGTAACCGATTCATAAGAACACAGAGACGTGGCTGCCATGGGAGTCCACCCATGTTGGAAGTCAATATGGCCTGTACAGGGAAAAGATCCCGCCCAGACAAGGCTACTGAGTTCATCACTGAGTCAACCCACCCTAATGATAACATTGGCCAACAGCCACCTAAAGATGCTCTCGCTGTGAAAAAAAAAAAAAAAAAAAAAATCAAAACAGAGATTCCTGACTTTCCCCAAACCTGTGTTATTAACAACTTTGTCCTCCTAAGTGACCAGGCCAGCTCTACTTGCCATCAGTTTACTAGCAGACTTGGCTGGCTTCACTTCCAAAGATGCTTAGAACCCAGCCCTGCCACCACTCCCCAGATCCAGGCTCCTCCCCCTCTTTTTTAGGCTCCCATAGCAGCCAGGGGTCCAGCTAAATCCCCCCAGTACCTAGAGGAAGAGCCTGAAGCCCTGGGGTCTCTTTTCCTGGCTGGGGAGACACAAAAACTCTGGTGTAAAAGAAAATGCCCTAGACAAATAAATAAGCGGGGGGGGGGGGCAAGGAGGAAAAGAGGGTGCAGGCTGCCTGTTTTTACAAGATCACTATAGGGACCCTTTTGAAGCTGACTTTGGGCAGAAGAAAGAGCCCAGATGAGGGCTGAATAAGACAGTTTGCACAACTCCAGTGCTATTTGCTGTGTAATGGTGAAGTGAGATCTCCCCCCAGTGTTAAACACCTCGTAAATTATCAAGTAGGTAGAAAGAAAACACTAGTTCAGCTCCCAACAAGTCCATCTTGTGTGTATACACACATCCCCTGCTCGAAACAAAACGAGTGTTTGAAGAGGAGACAGTCTGTCTTGCATGCAAGGAAGTGGCCCAGCTCAGAGCTCCAGGCCTCCAGATGCTCTTCCATCGTATAACATACTGAAGAGCGTGGGCACAGACTCTTCCCAGGGCAGATAAATATTTCAGAATCAAGGGTTTTTAAAATATTTATTCTGTGTGGAAAGCTTTTATTTTGCAGAGTGTGGCTGGAAGCAGTCATTGCTATATGGGGACAGGTCATCTCTTTTATACCTGTTAGTTCTGCAGCCATTTTTTTTTTCCTCAAAGATGAGGCACCATGTGAGGTATCTGGGAGCCACATAGATTGTCGTTCAAGTCATCGGCTGGGTTCACAACCACTAAACTAAACCCAGCAGGAAGAGTCAGGGTATCTCAGTGCCCCAACCCAGCAAATCAGCAAACTAGCAGACCCATGTCTGTGGTTATCTGACTGTACTCCTGAGAGCCTCATTCAACCAGAGGCTTCACTGGGTGGGAAACATACACCACAGGAAAGACAGGGGCCTCTCTTGCTGAGGATGGTCAGTGCTGCCTTCTTCCCCTCTGGTTTCCCTGCTACTGCCAGCTGCTCTTATGGTGAAGCCTGAGCAGACACTTTGCACACAAGACTCCTTGACACCTTTGGATTGTGAACGGAGCTTTGCCCACTGGTCCTGTTATGGCAAGCAAATCCAGGGTAGCTGGAAGGAGGAGGAGAAGCAATCATTCTGATGACAATATCAAGAACAAATTATCAGCTAAAAACAGTCAAGAGAAAGCCAAAAGCACCAGTTCTTGTACAGTTCACACAAAACCCTAAGCAAAACCAACAGATCTTATTTGAACAAGCTTCTCCTAAGAAGCAAACAAACAACCTGCCTGCAAGTGACCAGGCCAGGCCTCCTCCCCTGCCCAACAAGGCACCTAAGCTCTGGCATTGGGTTCAGCACACAGACTATGACAGGCATGAAAGCAGTGCTTCCCAACAGCAAAGCAATGGGAAAGTGCTAAGTCACTAGCTTCTAAGTTAAAGCAAAGTCCTTTCTTAAAACAGACAAAAGCATGCCCTGTGAGGAAGGCAGAGGGAAGATGGTCCCAGGGAAAGTAAAAATAGACCCTTGGCTGCACTGTGAGTCATGCTATTGTTATCAGTGACACAATCAATGCACAGCCTGAAGGCCTCCCCCGCAGGCCTGGAGGGGCAGCTATGCTCTCCACATCCCTGAGATGTCTCCAAACCCAGGAGAGTCCCAGGAAGTTAAGTGCCAGACAAAGAAAAGCT